CACACACACACACACACACACACACACACAAGCACATACAGTACACATACATACACCAACACCCACTGGCTCAAACATAAAGTGTTCATTTGATCATTAGATGGGTAGACCACAACCAGTCCAGCAGGCCGCCTCTGGCACGTGGCAAATCTATAAATGTCAGCCACTCTTTTATGAGACCCTCTACACTCACATAACATAAACATACTGAGGCTGATTATAGAAAGCTTAACAAACTGCAGACTGTCTGAGAACACATTTTTGCTGATGTGAGTAAATAGGTATCTATACATATTTACAGCTGTATAAAAGTGTAGAATGAACTCAGTAATTCTGTCATCAAATTTGAATTAACATTGTTGATTTTTTTACTGCTTTATAAAAACAAATAATATATGTTTTTGTTCCAAACTGTACTCGCTCTATTAAAGAATGTGATAAACATACACAGGTGGACTGTGAAAATAAAATCAGTTTCTGTTCCAAAAACGTGAAGCTCTTGCTATCCCTTTATTCTCACTAATTGATCACTAGGGTGTGTTGCTCTTTGTGGTTTTACATGTATTACTTTGTGTAAGTGATATCTTGTAAAGGCCAAACTAATAATTAGCTCAGATCTTGGCAAGAGTAAGTCCAGGCTTAAAAATCAGCCAGTATGTTCCTTCAGACTTGGCTCCAGCTCGTGGGAGATGAGGCCTCTGATGAGATCTTTCACATGTCAGACAATGAATGACAGGTGTCTGTGAAAGTTGATGATGTCATTACCACATGATGATATCACCCGTGCTTTCTGTTTGTTTTGAAGTCTTGGTACTTGTAAGAGATAGGTTCCTGTTTCTGCCTTCTCCTCTGTTGTGTGTGAGCTTGTGTCCAACCCAGTGATGACCCTGGGCTGGATGTTTTAGCAGTCTCACTCTGACGTTATCAACAGTCCCCTGAGTAAAACCTCCCATGACTTGTCGACGTTAAGATGACAAAGTGTTAGGTTACGTTTGCATTGCTGCAATAAATGAGTCAAAAGATGAAAGTAGGATTTGAGAGAGGTGCATTTGACCCTTTTATGAAAATCTTTTCAGCCTCTTTATATTTTCCATTTAAAATAACACAAATGCAGATGGATTTGTTCAGGCTGACCCAAGAGTCTTTATAATAATAATAATAATAATTCCTCCACCTACAGCTACACATATGACTTTGTTCTCAACATTTTCTACCATTGTTGGTTTTAATACTTAGTGGGTAATTTATTATGTAAAGTTTGTTTGGTTTCTGAGCACATTCATGTCAAAACAGTATGAAAATTGTAGCCATAAATATTGCATCTATTCTCTGCCCTCTTTTTTCAGCCTCCTGGGGTAGCTGTGGATCAGTGGTATAAGGAGGTGTCCTCTAACCAAAGAGTTTGTGGTTCGATTCCCCACAATTCAGTCACATGTCGAAGTGTCCTTGGGCAAGACACTGAACCTCTACTATCTCTGATGTGTGTCCCATCAGTGTATGAATGTGATTTAAAGCACTGATTAGTCTCCATAAATGATTTATACATGTTAACCTAGTACAGTGTGAATGGGTAAATGAGGACACAGATTGTGAAGCTCTTTGAGTATCCTAGTTTCATAGAAAGGTGCTATAAGTACGAACCATTTACCTCCTTTACATGGATGACATCAAGCTGTATGCTAAGAGTGAGAGAATGTCCCTGTGATTGACTGGAGTCCTGTCCAGGGTGTCCCTCGCCCCTCACACTGTAACTGCTGGACATGGGCACCAGTGACCCTGAGAGGAAGAAGCAGGTATAGATAATGGATGGATATCTCTAAGTTAATTTTGCTTTGTCATTATTTGCTGATCCATCCAAACTGCTGAAATCTGCTTTCATTGTCGCAGTTTATTGACGAAAAATGTGTCATTCAATGTGCAGCTTGAAGTCTTCCACCCTTTACTGTTTGTCAAAACCTGTTGTGAGAAACTTATACCCCTCTCTGCATGAGAACTTGCTGTGTGATTGGTCAGAAGTTTGTGGCTGTGTTTGTTTATGCTGAAAGCGCTCGGACACTGCATTTTGCTTCAACCACTTGCTTCCAAAACAGACAAACAAACTGAAGCTACTCGCTTCCAGAAGCTGACTGTTGTACCTGGAAGTAGACATTTTTAGAGATAGTCAAATGGCCACCAAAAACTCACGAAGGAAGATAAAACAGGCATTGTTCACAGAGGAGCGCATCTGCAGAAAAGTGTAGAGCTTAAACTGGGACAGATTTGTGGGCAAGTAATGGCGGATCAGAGC